TGTAAAATAAAAGAAAGAAAGAAAGAAAGAAAGGAAGGAAGGAAGGAAGGAAGGAAGGAAGGAAGGAAGAAAGAAAGAAAGAAAGAAAGAAAGAAAGAAAGAAAGAAAGAAAGAAAGAAAGAAAGAAAGAAAGAAAAAGAAAATGAGATTCCAAATCATGTAAACAAAAACATGTTGTTTTTAATATTTTGTTCTACAAACACAACTTAATGTTGAGTCAGGTTTTTCTCTAATTTTGAGAATATAATACGGAATAAAATAACATATGATCATATTTATCCCCCACTTCCTCATTCTTATTTGTTAAGGTTTCCCATTAGTATTTTGTAGACATTTTAATACACATAGAATATATAGCATAAAATAGAAATTTCATAAAATTATTTTCTCAAGACTCAATATTCAGTTTGTTTTCAGACATGCTTTCACTGTGCTGCCCAGGCTAGCCTTGATTCTTCCATCTCTAACCTCTTCAGTGCAACTTCCTGTCACAGATTATTGTTTTTTTCAATTGCTCCAAAATGCTCACATTTTGGGCATAAGCATGATGTGCTATCAGTTTGCTGAATGTGTTTAATTCAGACTAAGTTCCAAACATTTTACAGTACCATTACCCACATTCTAAGAAACTGAAAATACTCAAATTTTACTCGTAATTTTATTTTTAAAAAGAATGTGGATTATTTTATGACTTTGAAATGTAAAAAAGGAGATAAATGAATGGGTATTTCGTGACCTTTAAAATTTTGTACTACTTTTAAATGCTTTAAGCTTGAGATTCGTAGATTTGAAGAAGTGATTCAAACATTGTGAGGGAAGTAATCCATCCCTCCTGACATGGAGTATGAAACGTTAAGATGAAGAAAACATATTCTGAAAACTATCTCTAAGCAGCTAATATAGTCTTTTTACTTAGAAATTGTACTCAATTACATGTAGATATTATGATAAACAGCACCTTTCTATTCCATTTCACATTCCCCAGTGACACATACCATTTTTCTTCTCATTTGCTAGTACTTCAGTCTAAGAACATAGTGGTATTTATATGCTTTAATCACATCAGATTCATATCCGAATTTCACTGTCAGGGAGTTCATGTGTTTCAATTTCAAAATTCTTCACAACTACTAATTTTCTCTCAATTTTGCATGAGAGGGACTCTTTTTTACTGTTTTTAATTGAAATAGAACTGAACCACATTCCCCACTCCCTCCCCTCCCTCTAGCCCTTTCCAGGTATTCTCTAGTTGACCCTTCTACATTCCTGCTCCACTCTCACCTTGATAGACTATTTTTTTTTGTTAACTCCAGCCTACTCATAATTCTCAGTAGACTCTAAGCATAATAATTGTGGAGGCTTCAAATCTATTCCTTCACTCTTTAACCGTTTTCCATTATAAGATGCTTTATACTCCCAGATCAGTTTTCCCAAAGCCATTCCTTATGGAAATGCAATGGTAAAGAAAATGCACTTGTTTACTATAAAGGATGTGCATGATTATTTTGCCTACATGTACATCTGTGCACCACCTGAGTATCTGTGCTCTCAGAGTTCAGAAGAGAGTATTGGATCTCCTATAAGTAGAGTTACAGACAGTTCTGAGCTGCCTTGTTGGTTCTAGAAACTGAAACCCAGTGCTCTGCAAGAACAGGAAGTGCTCTGATGTCATAGACATCTCCCCAAGCCTGTCCTGCATTTTCTGAGAAAAATAAACATGTGAAATTTATCATTCCTGGTGAGAGAAAATATTCTTCATCAGAGAAGATTCTGCCAATTGGTTATCCATCACCAAGTAGTTCAGCACTGAAATTGTATACATATATAAAAACAGTAACAATATATGGACTGTACAGATTATATTTACATAGTTATGTTTGCAAAAAAAAAACTTAAACAAAAATAAGCCATAGACCATTAATTTGAGATAGAGAAAGGGTGACATGTATAGGAAGACCTGTGCAGAGGAAAAGCAAAGGAAAAAGTGACACAATTATAATTTCAAAAATTAAAATTATGATTTACTTAGTTCCTATGTACTTGCTATATACTTGGTTTTAATGACTCCAAGAGAGTAGTGTCTTTAACATCATCATCTTGGAGTTAGTTTTAAAATGGACTCAATAAGCATATTAAAAATATGAACATCTTTTTTTTTTTCTTTTCTTTTCTTTTTTTTTTTTTGCTAACCATGAGTTATTGATCTTGGCCAGGTCAAAGACATTGGGATTATTTCATTATTCTTACTTAATGACTTTTGTAACATTCCTTTATTTATGTATGGGGGCTTGAATATGACCTGGTGTGTGTGTGTGTGTGTGTGTGTGTGTGTGTGTGTGTGTGTGTGCGCACGCACGCGCACATACTTGCACTTGTATAAAGGACAGAAAAACACATGAAAGCTTAAGTTCTGTCTTTGAAGCATGGGAGTTCTAGGGGGCAAATTCAGGTTCTCAGGCTTGGTGACCAATGCTTTTACTCAATGTTTCATTTAGCAGGCCCTTGAACAATGTTTAATTGCCTCAGTTCTCATAGGATAAAACCAGAATAAATGCTTATTATGTCTTGGATGCTATCTGATTGTTGAAACTCTTGAACTTAGAAATATAATTATACTATAACCAGACATATAAGAATCCCTAATCGATTTAATTATTATGAACTAATGACATGTATCCACAATATTTTCTTTTCCCTTAATCTTTCCAAATAAATTCTAAACTACTTATAAATTCTTTATTCTCTAGTCTTTCTATTCTCAGCATGCAGATGCACTATCACTTTAATTGTCAACTTCAGAAACTTATTTTTTCTCCTAATTATATCTCATCTCATTTACTCATATTACATTCTATCAATTTTGAGTATATCAAGTCCAAGATATATCTAAACATATCTACTTTTCCAATAGTTATTATTCTTTCAGTACTACAAATTACACTTATCTTTTAAGTACTTCAATAACATGTCTATCCACTTATGTTTTATGTTAAAGCCTATTCTTACCCCAGTAGAGAGAATCTACACTTAAATGCATTAATCAGCAGTAATAGATAAGATAGATCAAGAATAACACAGCCTTCTCTCCCAGTGAATGCTATTACAAAACTTGGGGCAAATGTAATAGGCAGATGTTTGAAGATTCTAGAAAAGAAGCAGCAACGACCTAGTTCTGTGAAGGAGATGATGTCACAGATGATTCTGTGATGCTGAAGCATCGTCTTCTCTGTACATAAATGATCTGAACCTCAGAAGTGGACATCAGTGTGTCAACAGAAGGAAATGGGAACGTAGTCTCTTCTCCATGATAGCGATGGCATCAAGGTCCTATAGAAGCATGAAATGCAAAGGAAGAGACCTTTCTCACTCAGTGCAGGTAGAGTAGCCCAGAGCGGTAGTTTGACATCCTGCAACAGAGTCTGCAAAGGAATTCAATAACCAGAAGTGAATGCCAGAGCAGGTTAAAATAATCCTTGAGCTTTTTAGGAAAAAATAAGGGGGGTGGGAGATCCTTCAGGAAGTAAAATACTGAGATTGTGAAGGAAGCATAGTTTGCTCAATGATGGTGAATTTGCTCACAGACTTCTGGGCTCCTCTCCAGCATCAAGAAGTGTATACTAAAAATATTACAAAGAATTTTAGATAGAGGTTTAAAATAGATGTCATTTCCCAGGGCCTTTGCTGGATGCTGTGTATTTGAACCCACACAATATACAACACACACACACACACACACACACGACACACTTCCAGAATAGGATTATAGCTACTTGAAACACGAAAATTTGTAATTTCAACACTATTAATATTTGGCAACACCAGTAAACATGGATTATAGAAATGCATGACACAGATTTCAAAAGCAGCTACAGTACTCCCTAAAAGCAGGATTTGGTGTGTGGATTCCTCATTTTTAACGAAAGCAATGTATGTTGGATACAATATACAGTACTTGGATACGGTTCCCAGAAGCCCTCTCCCATTCTTCAGAGGACCTAAATACTGAAGGAATAAATGAAATAATTTTTGCAAATTTATGTTAAATATACATGAATTTTTAATGTATCCTAAATATTCTCAAATAAAAGTGAATTTAAGAATTAAGGGGCTGGAGAGATGGCTCAGCCATTAAAGGCTAGGCTCACAACCAAAAATATAAGAGTTCGGTTCCCAGCACCCCCCCCCACAGCTGTCTCTCCAGCCACCTTTAAGCCGGCTCTGGTGGCGCAGACCGGTAGAATTTGCTGAAGGAGGCAGATGCAGGTGGATCTCGAGTTTGAGGACAGCCTGGGTTACACATTTAAAAAAAAAAAAAAGAATTAAGAAAACCCTGTTTATATGAGTTCAATAGTTATTTGGAAATGGAGGAGGGAATGAATGTGAAGACAGTAGGAATTATCTAGTTGAAACAGCTAGATAAACAGAAACAGAATTCTAGAGAGATGTGTGATGATAGCAACATTTCATTGGAGTTCTTTCAAGACAAGGAAAACTGTGTAGGGTAAAGTGAAGAAATAATGACTGAAAACTCTCAGATTTAGTGAAACATCTAAGAAACTCAGAGAACTTCTGGACAAGGGAACCTTATGGAAACCCAGCTCCAAACATTTGTAATCAAAGAGTAGAAAATTCAGGGCAAAGGAGTCTCAAGGGGCATCAGTGACCTTGTGGAGTAATGAGGGTCTAATGACTGCTAATCCCTCATTAGAAACTAAGGAAGAGAGAGCAGAAGATGGATAACATTAGTGAGTTTATGAAAGAACATGTCAAATTGGAAACATATAAAAGAGAGTTACTCTTCAACAATAAACATGAAATCAAGACCTCTCAAAAGAAAGCAAAGTAAACACTTTGGAAGTGGGAGTACTCTTAAAAGTTTACTAAAGGTTGTCTTTAGACAAAAAACAATGACTGCTGAAGGAAACCAGGATCACTGGCCATTAATAGCAACAATAGAAATGTAAGGAGATATTCTCCTTTTGTGTTCTTTAGGGATGTTTAAATGTTTGAAAGACAGAATTGCAACATTGTTTGATGAGAGGGTATTTGTTGTTTTGTTTTCTTGTTATTTGGTTGTTGTTGTGTTTTATATATATATATATATATATATATATATATATATATCAGAGCAATTTGACATACAGACCACCCCATAGCATATATATATATATATATATATATATATATATATATATATATATATATATATATATATATATACTCTGATTGATCAATAAATGAAACACTGATTGGTCAGTGACCAGGCAGAAAGTATAGGCGGGACTAACAGAGCTGACATGACAAGCAGCATGTGAAGATGCCGGTAAGCCACGAACCACATGGCAAGGTATAGATTTATGGAAATGGATTAATTTAAGCTATAAGAACAATTAGCAAGAAGCCTGCCGTGGCCATACGGCTGTGGGACTGGCAGGCGAGAGAGATTTGTCCTGACTGTGGGCAAGGCAGAAAAACTCTAGCTACAGATTATATATATATATACACACATCCCTGGCTGGCCTTTAACTCACTCTGTAATCCAGGCTAGCACTGAACATTTGCCAATCTTCCTGCCTCAGTTTACCAAATGCTAGATTACAAGCATGAGCCCCCATAGCAGCTTGGTGAGGTTTGAAACACACATGTTATACAAAAGGCAACTGTATCCCAGAGTAGGGAGAAGAATGTACCTATGTGGTGATATAATTTCTATATTCTGCTTGAAGTAACATATTGATGTTTAAGTAAACTTTAGAAAAGTCATATATTTGATTGTAATCATTACAATGAACATTGCAAGTAAAACTGTATAAATAACAATAAAAATGTTGACTAAGTAAAAAAGAAGATATTGAACCAACCACCAGAGAAATGTCTGTGTAATAATAGACATGAAACATTTTCCTCTGTCCCACAGAGGGCCTGACAAGAACCATACTGATTTTTATTTTCGTACCTCCCTCTAGTTTTATGTGAAATAAGGTCAATCGGAGGGAGGTGGGCTATATGCTGGGGTAGGCGGTAGGAAAAGAAACTGATGTTCATCGGTTTTTATTTAAATGATAAATACTATAAAGCTCAACTTGCTGATTGAAATACAAATGTTAATATGTGATAAGAGCATAGGAAATATTTTCAATATTTATGAAAACAGTTTTGTTGTTAAATGACAAGCCCTGAATCTTGTATAGTTAATCTCCTCACTGAGGACTCTGAACATTCCTGTGTTTCACGTGTATTGAAGAACACTGTTGTGCGATGCTTGGTGTAAAGTTATTGTGAAAATTTTATTGTCTTTATTTTTACCAAAGATTTCCCATAGTTTGAAGCATTTGAAGCAATAAAATTTAAAAAGAAAAAAAAAAAAGATATTGAAATAGCCTCAACAAAGAAAGGAGGGCAATCAAAAAAAAAAAAAAAAAAAAAAAAAGCATTCCAAATACCCAAAACTAAAGTAACAGAATCAAAACATCCAAACACCCAGAGGGATAAAAAGAGAAATCAATAACAAAGGAGACATAATCTTAGCATAGTAATTATATGTTGAAATACAACTGCAGTACACATAAAATGCATCAAATAAAAATGGATCATCAGGAGAGATAAAAATTCTAACTATATGCTGCTTGTAAAGAACTTACTTTTAATATAAGGATGTTTGTAGGTTAAAAGTAAATGCATAAAAATAATTGCATATATCATGCAAATGGTATTCAGAAGAATGAAGTGATAGCTGTATCAATGTCAGACAAAGTCAACATTGGAACATAGCATGGACATTAATCACATCAAATTACTTCCTTCCTGCAACCATTAAATAGTTTCTAATCACTCATAGAACAACACAATGTTTCAGTTTGTCCTAATAGAATCTAAGTGCTATATCTCTCTGCCACCCAGGTTTCCTTCATCTACTTAAGAATAACTTCATTTATCTCCCTCAACTATCACACAGCCCTATGTATTATTTGTTTTTCCCTACTATGACAAAAGTTTCAAAGAAGTGTCCCTGATTCTCTTCTTCACTTTGGTGTCCTTGATGTCTACAAAGAGTGTCTGATTTATAATATATAATTCGTTAATAACATCTGCCTATAGACACACAATTTCTTTCTCTGCATTCTCCTATAAATTGCATTTTGACAAAATACGATAATTTCAAAGGATCAAAGTTACCCACAAAAATAATTGTTATGGCACTTCTGGATCTGGAACTCATTAAGAGTTCTGTTTCCCAAGCATCTTCTGTAATCAAGTACTTCTTGCCTGACCTTCAAAAGAATCTGTATGAAGAACTGGAAAGATGCCACAGTAGGTAAGGCCTATTACTGCTCTTTCAGAGGGCCCAGGTCACAGTCCTTCAAATGATATGGCAGGTTACAACTCCCTGTCACCCATGCTTAATTGGTATCCAAAGACCTTTTCTGGCACTGTATGTACATACAGACAAAGTATGTATTATACATATCAAACAAAAATTTAAAAGAGAGAATGTCTATGGACAAAGCTAGTATACTTGTATCTTGATTTTTCCCCTCTGGCAAGTTCTTCACATTATCTGAGTCTGAATTTCCAGCAGATTAATCAGGAAACATCAAACAAGATTTCCTTCTCCTTAATATCATAATGCATGCCAAATTTTATTAATTGGTAAATTCCAAGAAAATGCACTCCAACTAGTCCAGAGTGATTAAATAAAGAGAGAGAGAGACAAAAAGAGGACAAAGAGTCAAATAAGAAACAGAGGACAAAAATAAATTGAAGTGACTTTTTCCAGGCATCTGGACAAGTGTACAGTCTGGCATGGACAGGAGCTTAAAGATCAATATTAACTTTATCCAGTTGAAGTCAATTCAGTAAATACACAAAACTATGGTTTAAGACCAAAAGCCTTGAACAATTAAAGATAATAATTATCAAAGGGCTGTCCAGCAAAAATGAGCATGCAGATCAAGCTGGCGTCCAGAGCAGGTGGCATACAAGTGTGTCAGATGGAGCCGTGTTTACCATCCGGTAAATATTTGCAAAATGGATGAAAAGTGAACTACCGACTTTCTGAAGGCCATTACACCATGCACCCAGCACTGATGCTTTTCTTCTTTCCTTATAAAGGTATTCTTCCAGCTTTCTTAGCTAAATGCAAGGCCAAGGGCAGGCCAATGATAATTATCTACTTCAAATGTACACTGTGCCTTCCCCAGGGAGGACTGCATACTCCGCATTTAGCAAGTCAAGAATTTGCAACAAAAATGTTTCATTTTGTGCTTGAACAGGAAAATTCTGTAAGCTGTTTTGATTTTGTGGTTGCTGTTGTTTATATACAAGTGTTGAAACTTTGACTTCTCCATTACAGGCTGGTCATCAGAGAACAAGCATGGAGTTTACAAACAAACTAAAGGTCCGCATGCTGAATGACCCATTTTCACAATTCCTTTTTTTTTTTTTCATTTTGAAAAAAAAAACAAAACTATAACACAAGTAACTGAGGAGTCCCATGTCCTCTTACACTGGGAGATAGAATAAGATTCACTGTAATATGCCCATTAGTGTGTATGTCTTGTTCTGACTATATCCATAAATCCTCTGTTTTATCCCTATCCCATTTTTTTTCCACTGCCCCTGACCATTCCTCCAGACCCTGATATCTGATTATCTCAGATTACCTTTTTTTTTTTGTTTGTTTCATGCATAAAAGAAAATGATACTGGATGTATATGTTTCCTCTGCTTTATTTAACTGTTCTGTCGTGATATTTTATTTGTGCTTTAATAAATAAAGCTTGTCTGGAGATCAGAGGGAGTAGCAAGCTATTTTAAGTAAACAAAGAAGTCAGGCAGTGATAGCACACACCCTTAATCCTATCACTTATCAGGCAGGATCTCTGTGTGTTCAAGGCCACACTTGGAAACAGAGACAAAAGTGATGACACACATGTTTAATCCCAGTACCAACCATAGAGGTCTGGAGGTCTGTACAGACATAAAGAAAGTGATAAAGCTGTGTAGGAAGAGGAAGTGATGTGGCTGGGCTAAGAGAGCCAATGAGGGAACAGAACAGAAAAGGCATATTAACGTGAGTATACAGGAAGAAGCTCTCCTTGGAATCTGAGGAGCTGGTGAGGTGAGGTTAGCTCATGGTTTGTCCTCTTCCTCTGATCTTTCTCTCAGACTTTAACCCAAATTTGTGACTCTGTGCTTTTTATTTGTTAAGACCATTTAGAAATTTGTCTACACAGTTTCCTCTATTTTCTTTTGACAGGAGTTCAATAATTTCAATAGCCTAAAAAGACTCCATTTTCATATATGCCATATTTTAAAATCCATTTTTGTTGATTTATACTTTTATAGTTATTGTAAAAATGTCAACTTGCCACAAATTATAACCACCATAGTAGGAGCCTCACCTGAGGAACTGTGATGGCATCTTCCTTTTCTCTTTTTTTCCCTTTAATTAAAAATAAACTCTTTTCTCATATATGTGATGATATAATATTCTCCCAAAATATTGTACACCCTAATAAACTTATCTGGGGCTAGAGAACAGAGCAGCTACTAGATACAGAGGCCAGAAAATGGTGCCGCTCACACCTTTAATCCTAGCATTCCAAAGGCAGAGATCCATCCGGATCTCTGTAAGTTCAAGGCCACATTGGAAACAGCCAGGCATGGTGACTCACGCCTTTAATCCCAGAAACTGACGGCAGAAAGGTATTTAAAGCGTGAGGACGAGGAACTAGATGCTGGTTAAGCTTTTAGGCTTTTGAGCAACAGTTCAGCTGAGATCTATTTGGATGAAGACTCAGAGGCTTCCAATCTGAGTAAATGGGATCAGCTGAGAAATTGGCAAGGTGAGGAGGCTGTGGCTTGTTCTGCTTCTCTGGTCTTCCAGTGTTCACCCCAATACCTGGTTCCAGGTTTGTTTTTTATTAACAAGGCTTTTTAAGATTTCATGCTACACATGACAAACAAAAAAAGAAAAACTATCATATGAAAGTAGGACATGGCAACCCAACAGGAAGAAAAGAGTCCCAAGATTAGGCACAAGAGTCAGAAACCCACTCTTTCTCAAAATTAGGAGTCCCACAAAAATATTAAGCCAAAAGCTATAGGGCATAGATAGGGGATCTGGTGCAGACCCATGTAGACCTTGTGTTTGTTGCTTCAGTCTCTGTGAGCTCATATGCACCTTGCTTAGTAGATTCAGAGGGCCTTGTTCTCATGCTGCCTTCCATCCCCTCTGACTCTTACACTCTTTCAACCTCCTCTTCCATGGGATTCCCTGTGCTCTCAGGGAGAGATTTGATGGAGACATCTTGTTTAAACACTCTCAGCATAATGTCTGGCTGTGGGTCTCTTCATCTGTCCCCATCTGCTGCCAGAGAAAGTCTCTCTGATGATAACTGGCTAAGGCACTGATCTATGAGTATAGCAGAATACCAGTAGGAGTCATTTTATTGATACTTTAAAAAATTATTATTTGTTCATATCAGTAATTTTTTTTACCCTCAGTCTACAGGTTATCTAATCTCTGGTTCTTGGTTATCTTAGCAATAGCAGGTATGGGATCCTCTTCATGGAGTGTGCCTTAAGTCAGATATTAGTTGGCTATTCCCATAAGTTTTGTGCCATCTCTTCTCTACCACATTTTGCAGCAATACAGATTTGTAGGTCAAAGATTTTGTGGCTGGGTTGTTGCTTATGTTTCTCCTTTGACAGCCTGCAGAGTACATTCCCACCCAAAAGAGACTCATGGGGTGAAGGCTCCATCTACGCACCAGCTGGATTTCTCCACATTCAGTGAGTTGTATGGGTGCTGTCCTTGGGAATGGGCCTTGCTGTCAGTTTGTGGAGATCGACTCATTGTTTTAGCAACAGCCTGGGGTGTTTGAGGATTTCCATGGGATTCCTTTGGCCAACAATTTGGTGGAATGCAACCCAGTCCTCCTATTGGCAGCTTTATTTGATGATACGAAATGGCTAGTTTAGATTCCATGTCCTGTATTATTAGGGGACCACGTTAGGATCATACATTTTAGAAAGTTTCCACTCTACTAGGTTTCCATGTCATCCCTTAATTTCCCCTCAATTCTGTCTGTCTCTCCTGTCATTCTCTCCCTTTACCATAACCTCTCTTCTCCCTCCTTACCTGATCTAGCTCCCATTACCACATGGCCCCAGTTAGCCTGTGAAATCTGTTTCACACTCCCTGGTATATATGTGCCCCTGGATGCTTCCTCTCTACCTAAACTCTCTGGGTCTATGGATTGTAGCTTGGTTAAAATGCATTTGACAGCAAATGTTCACTTATAAGTGACTACATACCATATTTCTTTCTTTTCTTTTTTTTTCTTTTTCTTTCTTTCTTTCGTTTTGTTTTGTTTTGTTTTGTTTTGTTTTGTTGAGATAGGGTTTCTCTGCTGTGTAGCTTGGGTTCCTGTCCTGGATCTCACTCTGTAGACCAGGCTGGCCTTAAACTCACAGAGATATCCCTGGCTCTCCCTCCCTAGTGCTGGGATTAAAGGCATGCACCACCTCTGGACCGCCACCCTATGCTCCCACATAGCAGATGGAGGAAAATGCAGTGTGGCTGCAAGCTCAGGGATAGGAGAGTTTTTAAAGAAAAACAAAAAAACACAAGCCGGGAGTTACATATGTTCTTTATTAAGCAGCACAATGTTATTTATTAAGCAACACTATTTACCACTTGAGAGAAGCCACAAGGCACAACAAAAACCACTATAAGAGCTTATTAAGGGAAGGGAAAGAAGGGGTGTGCATAGGCCTATAGAATCATCATGCAGGAAGCAGGGGAGGTATAGGTGTTCCCCACCACCACCACCACCACCTCCCCCCACCCCTGCACACGCACATATGGAGCTTATGTAACTATGCCATGCATGTGCATAGATTTCGTGATCACATGTGTGCAAATTATGTGATCACACAGTGCACAGATGATGTAGCATGTAAGGCCCTGGGATGACTAAGCATCTTACCTGGCTACTGGATAATGAACTCATGGTCATGTGGCTGGTGGAGTAGCTAGGAATTCTAACAACATGCCTTAGCGTTTTGGGATTGGGTAAAGGGATATGGAGCAAGGTGATTTTTTGAAACTGCTGGTTCATTTTTCAGTGCAAAACCACAACTTGCTTACAGGATATCTGGATATCTGCAAGGGCCATAACCAGCTAACAGGATGTCTATATAGAAACATCTGGATCTCGTTACATTTTATCGCACTGTTTCTTAATTGGCTGCTTCTAGGGTATTGAATTTCGTTATCATGGCACATTCCTGAGGTTTTTCCTAGAACTGAGTACGGCCCCAGTCAGCAGATGGTCTAACATGGTGGCCCTTCCCTAAGACAGAGTCTGTAAGTCAAGTCTAGGCCTTCATATTGCCTTCACATTTCATCTAGTCAGCCTAAAGTTATGATTTTTATTAATGTTTTCCTATAAGTATTCAGAAAAAAACCCTGCATAATTGTTTGAAATAATGATTGATATTTTACCAATGTTCAGCTGGAATATCTATCTCAGCCCCATTTCTCGCTCTCTCAAACCCCATCCTCTCAGAAAAACTACCAAAAAGCTCAGTTCCACATTCTTAGTGACAGTTCCTTCCCCTAAGCTGCCAGATGCCCAATCATCACCTAAAGTGTTATAATTGGGCACTAACCCAGCTTGTGGCAGACAGGTCATCACCCTGCACCTTCAGGGTGTTCAAGCTCCCTCCTTTAGATCAGCCATGTGATTTTCTCCTGCCCCTTTCTCCCATCTTGATCTCTGGGGGCCGGAGGGTCGGTCCCTAGGGATTTGCATTGCCCAAATAAATCTGGTCTTTTACTTTTTAATTCAGTTTGATTTGGTTTACTGCTTCGGTGAAGAAATCTATTATCAGGGTACAGAAAACCTATTAACCAATATTAACTATATACTTATAGTTGTCTATACTGTTCTTAAAGCAATCTTTGAGTATTTGGAAGTCAAAGACAAATTTGAATAGCAAGGGAAAAAAATCAAATTTTCTTTTTTTTTAACATTACATTTATAGATTTAAAGAATACTTCATCTTCTTTTATTTCTGTATCTGATCTAACATTCTTTGGCTATCAGAACATTTGAAATGCATTAGCTTAGCAAGCCAATAGCTTCCTCCAACCCCAAATGCAAGAATGTCATCAAACAACATCTCAAATTTGCAACCAAGATCCCTAAGCTTCACTGTAGCCTTCTGTGATCACAAGCACGCTGGACAAATGCACTGTTTTTTGAGTGTCCTTTGTTCTGTGACTATGAAAATTCGTGTAACCAGTTCCATGTGAGAACACATTATTCACCACAAACGGGATGCATGTTTCTTTTTGATTGAGATGTATCTCATACAAAACCTCCTTTAATTAAGCAGGAAGGGTAGTTTACTTTTTGTTAATTCTTGTGGTTTGACATC